TGGGGGGTCTTGTGGAGGGAGTGAGAGAGAGATTGGTAGAAAAGGAAATACAGTTAAAGAAGCTGTAAATGTACGAAGAATTTTTGGATGACTAAATGATAATGAAGGTTGTTTTGGTGTCAATCGTGGCTAGGATGATCAGACCAAAATTATAGAACAAAGCCTCGATTGGAGATTATGTTTTTTGTGGCCAACCTTGCATGTATTAGCATGTCTTTGATCCAAGCAGTAGTATACTTATTATGAAACTTTTCCCCCTAGATGTTAATAATTTAACACTACTCCATAAAATTTGATTGAAATGAAAAGGTCATTTCGAGCATGCAAACTACTTACTGTATTTGAGCCAACAAATGATACAGCTTTAATATCGTCATCATCACATATAGCATTAACAATGTCCTACAAGAAAGAACAAAAAAGATGAAATGTGAAAGATACAGAATGAAAGCTACAAGCTACAGATCCCAGATGAATAAATTACCCTTAAGAAAAGGTTCTTTTCGGGATTTCAAATGATTACTGGTGTCATTAAGGAAGAAAATAGCAGTAGAAAATGATTGAACGAACAGAACATACATTTGTGCCATGCACAATATTCAGGACACCATTAGGCAAACCAGCCTCCACGGCCAACTCGGCAAGAATCATAGAAGCCCCTGAAACAAAATAAGGAGCAAAACATTTGTAACTTCGAAATAATCCAGACTGCAGACAATAATTTTCAAGTTGAAGAAATGTCTTGTGCATATCTGATAACCTCATATTGATAGCCACACCAAAAAATTTTAACAAAAAATACCAATAAAACAAGGTTAATTGAGAAACATGACTACCAATGTATAAAGAGTTGAATGCAATAATTAATTGAAACGATTTTCAGATGGGTAAACAAGTCCGGAAGCCATTGCATAAGGCTCAAGAGAATTCAGCCATAGAGTGAAGTCTACTTTTTTGAGTAATGAAAATAATTGTAAAGGTTGGAGTCAACTTACCACAGAATTATACGGAAAAGTTGTCATACTATGTAACGTCACAAATGCTAGATAAAGAATACATCGATAACCCTAATGCATTGATAACCCTTAAATGGAATAGTTCGTGCTCTCTTGAAATAAGTTGTAAATTTGCCATACATTTAGATACAGATGTAACTAAACAAGCAGTGAGATGCTGATTAGATAAGTTTCATCAAAAGAAAAGGCAGTACGAACGTCTGTCAATGTGTAGAGACAGCAGCGTATTGGTGTAATGGTCCAAGTTTATACACTCCAAGCAATATCTCACTAAACTCAAAAGAAAAAGAAGAATATTATTTAAAGCTATTCACATTTTCTACACAATTAATACTCATATCAGCTTAGGACAACATTGTCTTAGCCAGTTAGGATCCTAAATTATTCTTTCGCACCAGAATGCCAGATGCTAAAACATTAGGAAGCAAACAACTGATTTAGTAATATACACTAGAATACTTAAAAGAAAATAGTCACCTGGATCTTTTTCAGATGGCTTTAGGACGAAGGTATTTCCACATGTAACTGCAACAGGAAACATCTGCATGAAGTTGCACATGAGATTATACTAGATTGATTTACCAGAACTTCAATATTATTTTCCCCACCAAAAAAAGGGAAGAAAAATATGATATGATAAGAAAGAAAGGAAGGAAAGGGGCATTGATAGATCTGAATGAAAGGGAAAGCACTTGAGAAAAATAAAGAGAAAGTATAATTACCCATAAGGGAATCATTGCAGGGAAGTTAAAGGGGCAAATCCCAGAACAAACACCAAGAGGTTCTCTAATGCTATAGGTATCAATTCCGCTTGACACGTTGGAAACATACTCTCCCATTTGAAGTGTTGCCATCCCACATGCATGTTCCACCACCTCTTCAAGAAAATAAGCACAATAATTAAGAACTCGCGGCAATGATTAAGAGTTCAGTTAGAATAAAATGAATAAATACATTCACACACGCACATATATATATATATATATATATTATAAAGGTACTAACCTAGCCCACGGAACACATCACCCTGTGCATCCTTAAGTGTCTTCCCTTGTTCGGTGGTAATGTTCAAGGCAAGCTTATCCTAGAAGAATTGTAATAGTTCTAATCAGTATTAATGACAAGCAGAATAAAAACCAATTAGGTAAAACAATTCAACATGCTAACCATGTTTTTACGAATAAGATCTTGCAGCTTAAACATAATGCGTTGCCGTGCAGTAATTGGTGTGTTCCGCCAGGATGGAAAGGCCTGTTTTGCAGCAGAAACTGCAGATTTGAACTCATCGTTTGTAGTTAACGGTACTTGTGAAACTACCTCTTGTGTTGCCTATGATATCAACCAATCAAAGAAAATAAACACTAAAGAAATGCGTATAACTAAATATAAAGAAACTGTGTTGTTACAACATTTCAATCACTTACTGGATTCAAGACATCAATTGAGTCTGATGATTCTGAATCTACAAATCTACCACCAATAAGATTTGGCACTCTCTGAATTAAAAAAGATTAATGCAATAATTAACCCAAAGGTTGATGCATACACTAAGTACATGAACTTAGCAAGCGAAAGAGAAAAATAATGAAAACCAAAACTATGACATTCCTGCTTACGCTTTTTATTGTTTTATCCAAAATTCAGGGGTTAAAGGCTTTTTTTTTTTTTTTTAACAACTTTAACACCCTTTTGTTCCTTATATTCTTCTACTTCACACTAAAATGAGCATAATTGGAATTCCCAAAGCAGACATATATAATAAAATTCAATAATTCACATTATGCATTTTCATCTTCCACAGGTTCTTTGTTCATAGAGCATCAAGTACAATAAAAATGGAAAAAACTGTAAACAAACTATTATGGTATAAAAACAAATCAAAAGAGAAATAGTACTCACAAGCGAATTTCCATGTCTCCAAGACGGTTCAGCAGCAGTTGAAAACTGAGAATTCGCAAGCGCAAATATCCGAGGACTCAACAGCCTCACGTTCCTCACTAAAGAAACACCAAGACACAAATATAAACACACGTAAACAATAATCAAATCAAAGATTAGGGCTTCAAGCTGCAACTTAATCAACCAATTCGCTATAACGCATAAGATACCCATATTCATCAAACGATCGAATAAAAAAAAAAAACGCACGCTCAAGAATTAAATTGAATACCTCGTTGAAGTGAAAGCTGCAGCAGCACCATCGCAAGTGTTTGATGAAACAGCAATCCCGTTGCAACCCTCTGGCCGTATCTGCGTCACTGTGGTGTGTGCGTTTGAAGAGAGAGAGAGAGATCAGCTGGCAATTACTTGTAATTTATTTTGAAAATAAGTAGAATACCATGTAATTGTGGGTGACGGTGGCCCAAAGGGATCATCTTTATCAAATAAATAAGGAAAAATTGCAGCAGAAGCCTTAAATCTTTAAAAACACTTATAGACTTTTTCCAAATATTTGATTTGTGACAGTTGTCACCCCGAACCTTTACATTTGTTGTAGTGAAGGCCCTTTTGGACAGAAACCGTTCAAACGCCCTTCAATTGACCGCCCAAATAAAAAATTGACCACTTCGATTTCGACCTGAACTTACGTATGTATTTCTTAGCCAAAAAACCCCATGGACCTTAATGTTTTGCCTGACTAACGTGCAGTTATGTTCGTCCCGAAACGTGTTGATCCTTAAGCTACAGTATTGTCGTTTGTAGGCATACAATTGTCATGGACAATTCTCTTGACATTTTGGTTAAAAGTGATCAATTTTTTATTTGGGCGGTCAACTGACGAGCGTATGGACGATTTCCGTCCAAAAGGGCCTTCAATGCAACGAATGTAAATGTTAGGGATGACGACTGCCACAAATCAAAAGTTTGGAGAAAGTCTGCAAGTGTTTTAAAGGTTTGGAGCTTCTACTGCAATTTTTCCTTTTAAATTTGGTAAGTTGGACCTTTTTCCATTTTTGACAACTCAGTAAAAAAGTGACCTTTATTACAATTCTATAAACAAGTAAAACTCCTTGTTCGGGAAGATCTTAGGGCCTGTTTGACTGGGGTGAGAATTCCATAGAAAATGAAATTTAAATTATGAAGATTACATAAAAGCCTACTTTTCAAAATCTCATTTCATAAATTATATGCAAAGTTTAGTATTTCAAAAATCGAATTTTTTAATTTATCATAATTATAAAAGTCTTCCCTTGTTCGGTGGTAATGTTCAAGGCAAGCTTATCCTAGAAGAATTGTAATAGTTCTAATCAGTATTAATGACAAGCAGAATAAAAACCAATTAGGTAAAACAATTCAACATGCTAACCATGTTTTTACGAATAAGATCTTGCAGCTTAAACATAATGCGTTGCCGTGCAGTAATTGGTGTGTTCCGCCAGGATGGAAAGGCCTGTTTTGCAGCAGAAACTGCAGATTTGAACTCATCGTTTGTAGTTAACGGTACTTGTGAAACTACCTCTTGTGTTGCCTATGATATCAACCAATCAAAGAAAATAAACACTAAAGAAATGCGTATAACTAAATATAAAGAAACTGTGTTGTTACAACATTTCAATCACTTACTGGATTCAAGACATCAATTGAGTCTGATGATTCTGAATCTACAAATCTACCACCAATAAGATTTGGCACTCTCTGAATTAAAAAAGATTAATGCAATAATTAACCCAAAGGTTGATGCATACACTAAGTACATGAACTTAGCAAGCGAAAGAGAAAAATAATGAAAACCAAAACTATGACATTCCTGCTTACGCTTTTTATTGTTTTATCCAAAATTCAGGGGTTAAAGGCTTTTTTTTTTTTTTAACAACTTTAACACCCTTTTGTTCCTTATATTCTTCTACTTCACACTAAAATGAGCATAATTGGAATTCCCAAAGCAGACATATATAATAAAATTCAATAATTCACATTATGCATTTTCATCTTCCACAGGTTCTTTGTTCATAGAGCATCAAGTACAATAAAAATGGAAAAAACTGTAAACAAACTATTATGGTATAAAAACAAATCAAAAGAGAAATAGTACTCACAAGCGAATTTCCATGTCTCCAAGACGGTTCAGCAGCAGTTGAAAACTGAGAATTCGCAAGCGCAAATATCCGAGGACTCAACAGCCTCACGTTCCTCACTAAAGAAACACCAAGACACAAATATAAACACACGTAAACAATAATCAAATCAAAGATTAGGGCTTCAAGCTGCAACTTAATCAACCAATTCGCTATAACGCATAAGATACCCATATTCATCAAACGATCGAATAAAAAAAAAAAACGCACGCTCAAGAATTAAATTGAATACCTCGTTGAAGTGAAAGCTGCAGCAGCACCATCGCAAGTGTTTGATGAAACAGCAATCCCGTTGCAACCCTCTGGCCGTATCTGCTTCACTGTGGTGTGTGCGTTTGAAGAGAGAGAGAGAGATCAGCTGGCAATTACTTGTAATTTATTTTGAAAATAAGTAGAATACTATGTAATTGTGGGTGACGGTGGCCCAAAGGGATCATCTTTATCAAATAAATAAGGAAAAATTGCAGCAAAAGCCTTAAATCTTTAAAAACACTTATAGACTTTTTCCAAACATTTGATTTGTGACAGTTGTCACCCCGAACCTTTACATTTGTTGTAGTGAAGGCCCTTTTGGACAGAAACCGTTCAAACGCCC